GGCGCACTGTAGCAGTGCGCCACCGGGCCGGCCCAACAGCTAATATTTATTGAGCACTGTACTGACCTCATAGGGCATTGTAAAACACTCAGCATAGTACCGTATGCCTCCAGACTTATTTTACACAAAGATGAAATAAACTGAGCCATAGACTTGCCTGAGTTAGAGGTCTAGTAAGTGATAAAGAGTGTTTTCTCACCCTGGTGGCTATGACACAGAATCTGGACTCTTCACCACTCAGCTCCATCCTGCCTCAGAACCAGAGCTGTTAAATCTGTTCAAGCAATCAGTGCTTTCAGAGAGGGACATGAGGAGATTATAAAGACTGTGCAAATACACACTCGCTTTCCAGCATCCCTAGCCTTTTGGATTGCTTAAGGAGAGGAAGTTGCCAGAAAAACACACACACAACTCCCCTCTTTGTCAGCCAAAAGCAGGCCCCCAGAGAACTTGGCCAGAGAAAAGCGGAAGAACATGAGATTATCCCCACAGGACAGTGAGTGATGGGTTAGCCAACAAAGACAGAAAGAAGTACTGTGCTTGGCAAGTGATGTCTATAAAAGGCCAGTCTTTTCTCACAAATCTGAGTAGCGATGAAAGTGACAAGAAAGGGAAAAGGCAGGGGGAGAAGAGGGAGGGTGGGAGAGGTGGGGGCCCGTAGCAGTGGTCCTGGTGCAGGAGCAGCCTTGGTAGCTGTTGTGAGAAGCAGTGACAGATACAATCAGCTAAATACAGCAGAGAAACAAATAGCTTGAGACAGAAGACAGAACAGCATGGCTGCCCTGGGGGACAACCAGCCACCTGTCTCTCGTTTCTGCAGTCCTTTGAGGTCTGGGGCAGGGTGACATGAGAGTGGACAGCAGCCTCTACTCAGCAGCCCCATGCACAACAGTGTGCCCTACCTGGCAGGCCACTAGTGAGATGGATGTCAAAGGAGGGGAAGAGGACACAGTTGTGGGACATGGAGTCCCAACCATGTGCTAAAGTCGGTCCTGAGCAGTCTCCATCTGCATCTGCAGCACAGCCCAAACTGACTTTTACACAGTCCTGTCCCACTAAGGAGGGGGAAACTGGGGGCTTTTCACGGCCCACTTCCATTCTGCATAAATAATGCTTTCTCTATGTTTGAGTCCCTCTTGCCTCCAGATTGCTGCTCTGATGTCTCTCCCACATAGAAAACCTGCAGTTGCCACTACAGTCACCACGTGACTTATCACAAACTGTTCACCATGTTTTGTTTAAAGGGGCCAGAGAAGTGTTTACATTGTTGTCTCTCCCACATAGAAAACCTGCAGTTGCCACTACAGTCACCACATGACTTATCACAAACTGTTCACCATGTTTTGTTTAAAGGGGCCAGAGAAGTGTTTACATTGTTTTAAAAAAAGATATTTCCATTGATAAAAAGTTAAAATTTTCTGGCTAGGTACTTAAATGGTTGGTCCACAATTCAGCAGGGAAAACTCCAGCTGTCCAGTTCATTTCCCAAAGACACTGCAGTTTTATTTTACACAGCTCTATGTGACTCAAATGATATTTTGAGGACTGCTATAACAATAAAAGTTTTGGGCTTCTGAGGGGTGCTAAAATGAAGGGCTATCATGACAATCTTTTAGTCATGTTAGAGCAGGCAATGGAAACTGAAAACATCTCAGTCCTCAGGACTAACTGGATGGAGAAAGCAAGACTTCATCTGCACTGTGCTGATCACTGTCTGCCTCTCTGACAAGAATGTAAGTGGCCATCAATGCACACCTCCTGCAGTCTGGGCTACTAGGATGCCAGATCTTCCATGAGGTGCTCTGTGACTTTTAGCTGCAAGTAATTTTGCCCTCCTCATAACTTCTATAGCATTGGACAGCTCTCTCCTGGAAGCTCATTCTCTACTATGTTGGAGTCATTTGTGGGTCATGCACTGAACTGTAAGCTCCCTAATAACTTCATGTTATTTCCGTCTGAATTCCAGAGGGAATTCCTTCACGTCCTTCCCACCCTCAGTCCCCTGCCCAGCACTTGTCCTAGTAGGTGTGCATTAGGCACTGGCTGACTGTGGAAAGGACGAGGGTGGGGATGCCTCTCTCTGCATTGTACTTCCACCGGCCAGAAGCCATAGAGGGCTGTGTGAACCAGACTCAGGGCTCTGAGGCCAGATTACCAGGGCTCCAGTTCTGGCTCCTTGGACCAGTTCTTAGTATCATGGTGCTGTAGTTTCCTCATCTCTAGAATAGGGATTATAGTAATAATGATGTTACTGGGTTTTTGTGAGGAACAATTGCGTTGATCCCTGTAACATAATTTGCACAGTGTTGCCTCAAAGAAAGTGTCCCCAAACTTCAGCTACTGCTATTATTAAAGCTAGGGCTGGGTTGCCAGGGATGCTCATTCTGTGTTGCTGACTGGTCAACTGCAGGACCACATGTCATGGCATTTCTAGATTTTAATTCAGATAAAAAATGATGACTCTAGGAAAAATTTTTGTTCAGGTCTAACCTATTTTGGATAAAAATGCTTATGGAGTAAAACAGTTTTCCAGATTGTTGCATGAAATTCTATAAGACTGATATCCACATGGTAAAACTTTCAGAGAACTCCTTGGGTAAAAAAAAAAATTAGTATCTTTAATACTGCCCCCATTTATTCCCCCCCCCCCGCATGTAAGGAATTACTGCATATGTTGCCATGAAACACAGTCCAGTGGCCCTGTATGGGATTCAGAAGCAAATAACTTGATCCCAGACATTAGGAGACAGGGGCCAGAAACAGATGAGCTAGAGAAGGCCATCTAAGTAAAACTTTTCATCATTTGGAACTTCGTGGATTACACATGAGACAGGCCACTGAGGGTGCCTTCCTGGGAAACCCCATGTCTTCTTGATTACCTTCAGTTCCAATTCAAAGGCTCCACTAGGCTGGGTTGGTGTGGTGCCCCTCAGGGGCTTGAGTTCATTCTAAGATGAACCTGAGAAGGTCTTCTAGTCAGACCAAACACCAGGAAACATTATGGCCACTCTGGAAAGAGCATTTTGATCACCAGCCTTGCTTTGCTGCCCACACCAACAAGCTTCAGTCTTTGAACATTACAGCCCTAGGTCCTTTTCTTTCCAAACTCGTGGTTCAGATTCCAACTTTAAAACATGCAATTTTCTTTATCAAGGAATTTGCAGTGCCTCTCCTTGATACATAGTGCTGTTGCTGTCTCTCAGGAACACTCAGAGCCATGGCACTGATACAGCGCCAGCTGGCAGTCAGGCGGCAAACTTCATCATGGGGTGCGGCCCTCACCAGCCTTTTCTGGCTTGGACCCCAGTCTCTCAGGAACACTCAGAGCCATGGCACTGATACAGCGCCAGCTGGCGGTCAGGCGGCAAACTTCATCATGGGGTGCGGCCCTCACCAGCCTTTTCTGGCTTGGACCCCATTGTCACAGCTCAGTCTCCTGCTGCCTTAATTGCACAGCCCCCCTGCATCCCCAAGAATGACAGCTGGGCAATTCACAAAGGCAGGGGAGAAAGGTTTATATTCTCACCACATCATTGCCCTGACTCTGGGGAAGGAAGAAGCAGGTGTGTGGATCTGAATGTGTTTTGAGGGGCCACAGGTGGGGAGTGGAGGAGGGCACCTTGGAGGAGGAAGCTACTGGGGAGGTGGGTTTTGTTCACCTTTGGAGCAAACTGTGAAGCTTCCCCGGGGAAACACTTTTCTATATTATGCCGTCTGGCTCCCTGTCTTCACAGCAGAGCCCCCCAGGAGCTCAGGGTCCTGGTAGAAGGGGCACCTATGAATGATTGGCAACTTGGCTGCTCAAGGCTTGCCAGTGCCAGTCTTGCTGCAGGTCTTGTCCAGGTCTCAGTCCCCAGTCAGTATGTGTTTTCTTGCTTTGTTTCTGGTAACCATGAACTGGCTACTGGCCCTGCTTGAAGCTTCCCTGACACCAAGCTTTAGCTCCAGATATTGTAAGCTGTGTTCCCTTATTTCTTCATTCTTGAAACGCTTCCTTGGTTCATCTACTGGAACCCCATTCTTTTAGAAATGGGGATTTCTCTTGTTCTCTGGGGACTAGAGCCCATTCCAAACCTCCTAGGGGATGTCTGCCACTTACTGGGCTTACTTACCCATCACCAGCTCCCCTGAGGTTGTGTCCACTCATTGCTGCCCATTGTTGAAGCTCCCTGATGCTGATTGCCTGACCCCATTGGAGAGCCTGTGGTCAGTTCTCACTTCTCCCTCCACCCCAATCCCAGGCCAATACTTCCCACCCACTACCCACCACCACTGGTAGCCACCCAAAGCTTGCTGACCACAGGCGTGGACGCTGGCTGATTGCCCACTGCTGGACTTCCTTCTGCTCCGCTCTTCCCATCTACCCACCCTTCCTCTCATATCTTGTCCTGCTCCAAGGGAGCAATAGATGGGATATCAGGTGTCTCAAGGGGGACAAGTCCAGGACCCCAGACTTGTAATCAAGCGATTCCACTGTGTGGTGACCAAAGTCTGGACAGCTGTTCAACTGTAAAGTTGACTTTATAAGTTCAGACAAATCTTGTTTGTTTTCTAGAAAGTACAGATTCCATTTCCCAATTCAAAAATACATTTTTTACCTCTGTCCACCTTATCTAAAATTTCCACCCCCATCCTGAGTACCTACCATCCCCTTTTCCTGCCTTTTTTTCATTAGCACCCTTTACTAACATACTACATATTTTACTTATTGTGCTTACTGTTTATCCTTCTTGGTAGAATGTAAGCCCCATGAGGGCAAGGAGTTTTGTTTATTTATTATTCCTGCACGAAGAGCAGTTCCTGGCCCAGAGGAGTCATTCAACAAACATTGATTAGGTACATGAAGGAGTGAGTGGGGAATGAGGGATGTGCCTGCTCCCTTCTGGCCAGGCCACTGGCTCCCAAGTCTGTGGGCATCCTGCCCTCCCGTGCAGGGTAGGGAATTCTCCCAGCCTGTCCACAGGCCCTGGGGAGCCTGGCTCTTGGCTTTCTGCTCTCACCTTCAGCTTGTGCTCATGCTCCTTGTTGACGCGGGCCAGCAGCTGCGCTTTCCTTCTGTTGAGGGCGTCGATGAGGGCGTCACATTGGGCCACCAGACAGGCCTCGAACTCCACACTGTTCTCCTGTGGGAGAAAGCACATTCCTCAGTTGCAAGGAGCTGGGTATCTCAGGCTGCCGTCCATGTGTGGGGTAGAAATCCCTGCTGAAGGGAATAAAAAGAAGCCCTGTCCACAATGCACGTTCAGTATTCTTTTGGAATAATTGCACAAACTTCATTCTATAGTGGTAGTGTTTTGCTTTAAACTTAGATTGAAAAGGATAAATATGTATCATTTAAATTTATTTTCAATCAAAAAGAAATCATCTCCAAAGTTTGAGTTATATTAAGTAAAATAAAGCATTAGTTTGCAGAGTTGCATGTGAGTCCCTTTGAGGGCCGCATGTGTTCAGCTTCGTGTGGTGGAAGGTGGCATTCAGAAAGGCAACCAGGAGGGAGCAGAATATTGTCAAGGCACGAGAAATAAAGAATCATTGAATTCGAGGGAAGAAAGAAGGAAAAGGAGGGCAGTGGTCTTCAGTATTAAACTATAATCCCATGACAACAGAAGTTTACAAGACATAAGAATAGTGGGCAAAAGTACTTGCTCTTTTACTAAGGAAAGCAAATAGTGAACTCGGGGAGGCAGTTAAAAATAATTAATGTATGTCACAGGCATCACCCTGCTGTAAAAATCAGACATAAGCCAACGGCTTGTGAGGGAAATGTAAATAGGTACTAAATGAATTATACCTTCTCCATGATGTTTAAATTAAATGATGAATATAACATTTTTACTTGATTTAAATCTGTACGTGCCATAGCCATTTCTCTTAAGCAATTCTCTCACTGAATTATAAGTATTTACTAAAGGTAATCCTCTTGGGCTGGCTGGTTAGCTCAATTGGTTAGAGTGTGGTGCTGGTAACACCAAGGTCCAGGGTTCAACCCCTTTACTGGCCATCCGCCAAAACAAACAAAAAGAGAATGATTAAAGATAATCCTTTCAATAAATTACATATGCAATTTTGATTCTTAAGCTGTAATCTGCAAAAATGTATAATTTACAGCAAATGAATGCTAAATACACGCACACTAATAGTGCTTAAAAAACACCAACCAATTGAGAAAACTGTGAATATTTGGGGCCTGGCAAAGAAGGAAGAGCTTGGCCTGTCAAATTTTAATTCATTCCCAAAGTCATAAAGAATATATAATAATATTCTCATAATATAATCCACTGAAAGGTATTTGGTAACTGTTTTCAAATGCAAGGTCTTTGTATAAGGAGTACACTAGTAATTGCTTGAGCAATGGCTTCTATAAATGCTAAAATTTGGCTTTCATGGCAATTGCTTTTTAGTTCTTAGAGAAAGCCCTTGGAAAACATCATTTAAAAGCTCTCTATGAGCCCTGTAGGGTAATATTGGGGGCAGGGGGGAACCTTCTCCTTGTGGGCTCTGTCACTATTTTGAGCAGAAGAAATGCTCTGCTCTGCTGAAGAGGCAAGGCAGAGGCAAGCCCGGGGCTGCACATTTTATGCCAGCAAAAGCAAAGAAAGGACTGATTGATAAATTCTATTGCTTTGGAAAACAGAAGGAAGTGTGTGAAACTGCTAGGTTGTTAGGGAATCACAAGTTTTAACATGGGCATGCATGCCAAAAAAAGGCAAGGAAATCAGTGTGTAATGCTTTGAAAGGCTGGCTTACATTTAAAAATCCATTTTTGCCTTGGCATGGGTTAAATATTAGCTCAGAAAGTCAATTTACCAGAGGGCCGAGCTAAGGTTATTTCTGTGAGGCAAACCTCACAGCCTAAGAATGGTACACAGTGCAGAGGGTCATTATTTTAGCATCTCATGCAGTTTATGGCTTTTCCCCTTCAGCTATAGTGGAGAATTTATGAGCTCTCAAATGCTGGCTGACCTGCTGGTCATTGTGTCCTGGATTAAGCAATGTGGAAATACAGTCACCAGAGGATCATGGCTGAAAAACACTTTGGTAAGTAGAAAAGAAGCATTACTATGGGACAGGAAGAAAGGAAAGGAAGAAAAAAAAGTAAGGAAAGAAGGGAAAAAGGGAAGAAAGGAAAGGAAGGAAGGAAGAAAAAAAAAGAAAATGTGACTTGTTACTTTTAAATAAGATATGATTATTTAATATGATAATATGCTTATTATCCTCAGTGTACAATATAGGAACTGTATGGAAAACCACTTGGGTGTGTTTCTGGCTTATCGGCAAAAGGTAACCATGTAAAGAAGGGGTATGTTTGAAGTTGCTCTGTATGCGTGTTTATATATATGGAAGAGACACAGTAGAAAAAATAAACAGGAATTCTCCCACAACACATATAAATAAAAGAGAAGAAACAAATTTCCCCATTTTGCAGTTGCATATTAACCCGCGGGGTTTCCTCTGTGTCCCGGGTGATGCCGATACCTGGATCTGCTGAACCATGTTGCGGAGCTGCACCAGGAACTCCTTGGCTTCTTTGGCCCTGTCTGACAGTCCGTTCAGCGCCTGAGAGAGCTGGCTCTGCAAAAACAAAGAAGGATCCATGGAGCTATAATCGCAGGAAGCAGCAACAACAGGGTTGTTTTCAGACCCAAGACCTCCTCACATTCATCTTCCCTGAGGTTGTGCCATTTAGCTGACATCAGCACATGTGGATTCTGGTAACAATAGCATCCAGACTCTAGGGCTCCTGAGTGGTTTCTCTTCTGAAGCAGGTAAAATTTCTGGCCATGGCAGTCAAAGGCCTTCACCGGCTGATATCTACCTAGAATTTCCTCATCTCAATTAATTAATTAAGCAATATTTTATTGAATCCCTATTGTTTGCTAAGGATTTAAAAAATAAGAAAGTGAGTATGATGACCTGATTATTACCAACATTTCTTAGTCCAAAGGGCTATTGGTCTGGGTTTGAGGCAGAAGGAGTTTAGAGAGTCAAGAACAGGATAAGGAAGGTTTAGGTGCCAACGTGATGCTGTGGGGCAGCTAAAATGCAATGACAAATGTCAGGCTGATGTTCCACCTACCACCTCATCAACATCATCTTCCTTCTCCCAGGTACAGTCCTCCTCCCTAACTCCTCCAACCTAGCCTCCTAAGCCAAGGCTTGCTTTCTTTCTGACTTCCCACCCACCCTGTCCATATGGGGATGCAGTTCTGCTGGGGAGGCAATGTGTCCAGGTAAGCACTTGAATGCCCAGCTTCCCTGTCTGCTGAGGTGGCATGGTGTACACTGCAGATAGATGAGTCCTAAGGGGGATTCTGCTGGGGGCTGCAGGGGTCCGAGAAAGCTTCTGCTTTTCTTCTGACATGGGACCAGTGTGGCTGGTGCAGCCTCTCCCCTTTGATTCCTGCCCTTATGGTGGATGTGATGTCCTGTGACTTGCATGAGGAGAAGGCCAACATGGTAAGGATGGGGGCTGGGAAGAGAAGGATCCTGGGTTCTGATGGCATCTTGAGCAGTTGAGTCAGCACCTGAAGCCTTTGCCCATTAGGCTTCTTGCCATGTGGGAGAAATGAACTCCTATTTAAGACCTTGTACTAGAGTTTTCCATTGCTTGCAGCCATTACCATTGTACTTGATGCAAAAATTCCTTCTCCTGGCAGCCTGGACATATCTTTCCATCCCTCATGTACAGAGACAGACTCCCTTTCCCTCAGTGCCTTCTTTGAAAACTAAAGCCCCTTCTCCTTCTTGCTAACACAATGCCTCATGTACCCTTTCCTTTCAGTAAAAGGACAGAATATTAAAATTATATCTCTTGGTCCTGTGAATATTTTTCTTTTATATTTGCCTTATTAAATACAAAGCTGGGGACTGACTTTCTTTAAAAATAAATACACCCAATGCTTGGTGGAAGCAATGTGGGTGGTAGAATAAACACAGGCTTTGAAAAGGTTCAGATTCTGGCTCTGTCTCTTACTCAATGTGACCTTGAGAAAGTTACCTCTCTCTGAATTACTCCAGTGGAAAAAACTGGGAATAATGTAGTACATTGTGATTGGGTTATTGTGAAGGTTGAATGCATTAATCAATGTGAAAGCTCCTGCTAGTAAAGGGTAGTGGTTAAGGGAACTATTCTGAATTCATAACTGCTGCCAGTTCAACATTTTATGCATAGTTTTACCTAATCTATAAAATGAGATAAATGATACTACTTTTGGGTGCTTCAGGCATGGCATGAAATACTACATATAAAGCCCAGAACCCTGCTGGTGCGTAGCGCACGATGCATGCTTCATTAACATTGGCTGTCATTAATTCTTACTCGTTTTCTCATTCCTGCTCACACAAACACCTGCAGATGGAGGGATTTGCAGGACAGATTCCTAGAACAGTATCTCTTGGACAATATTCTTGATCACTTGTACTTTGCTCTATGTACTCAGACTCCAGGAGGCTAGACCAACACAACTGAGAAAGAAAAAATACAAAGAGAGCCTTGAGTCTTGATTCTTTATGACTGGGTCCCAGCTACACCTTAATTTTGGGTAAATGTTTATCTTAAAGAACTATTTCCAAGAGCCCAGGGGATGAAGGGGGACAATAGGATCTCATTTGGAAGAACAGGGAATAAAATGAGAGACATATTTCAAAAGAGAAAAAGTGTTTTTTTTTTTTTTTTTTTTTTTTTTTAAACTTTCAATTTCATTGCTTTGGAAATCCTACCTCTTTTTTTTTTTTTTTTCGTGAATGGGTAGAAGTTTGCTGGGCTACCACAGTTTTCTTCCCCGTTTTATTATAACCTACGCCTTAATAACCACACTTGAATATTTGAGTATAGAAGCCAAATTCCTTTGGTTATACAGAAGTGAAGCTACTTTGATTTCTTGTATCCCAACCTTGCAATTAATTGTGTTGCATAATGTAAGTCAGACCTGACACCCATAAAGGTTTGTTGACCAGGTGCTGCTATATACTTAAAAAATAAAAATTCAGTACTAGACAAAGAGTGCTCGCCTCATTTACTCTCAGGATTTTATATGGCAAAGCAATAAGTAAACTGCAAAAATTTATTTTATTTTTTTTTATTTTTTATTTTTTTTTTAATTTTTATTTTGTCAATATACACTGTATATGATTATTATGGCCCGTTTCCTCTCTTTGTTTCTATGTTCAGCCCCAAGAATGCCTTGTACCTGGCTAAAGATTGTTCCGATATTGGATAAACGAGTGCATTATTAGATAAAGATTTAGAAACTCTTCTCTTAAGCTTTGTCCACTTGTAGAAACTGAGCAGGAGATGATGAAAAAAATCCTACAACACTATCACTAAAAGTGCTCTTATTGTAAGGATTTATATATGTGTTGCTTTTATAGGATAGTCTTTTGGTGACATTCATAATCTACATCTGATGTAGAAGAACATTATTATTGATTGATTTTGTTTCCCAGAGCATTAAAATTCCTGCCCTGTGCTAGCAGAGATGTTCTGTATTCCGGACCACAGAGCGTCCCTGTAAATTTATGGCCAGAACACTGAAGATACAAATATGTAGCGTGTGTTTTTACTAGCATCTTTGACTGTACATGCAGTCATTAGAGGGAGCAGGGTACAGTTCTCAAAGCTATTGATAATGCCTAAGCAATGGCGTTCAGATTTCTTGGATATTTGTTTTCTTACTTACTGAAAGGGTGTCATGATCAGAAAGTAAATGAGCGGGAAAAATGGTGCAGCCGCGGAAGCCCTGACGATTGATTTCCAGTCAAGTTACTCCTGGCTCAGAGCATGCTCAGGATAACCAAGGCCTCCCAGAAAGAAGGCAAGTTGCTCGAGCCAAAGGAGACAAAGAACGCCACCTGCTCCCTGCCTCTGCGCGCTTTCCTTCCCTTCAACTTCCACCCCGAGCCGGCTCCCCTTGCCTCCTCCCAAGGAGAGCGGACGGTGTCTCAGAACCTGTTTCTTACGCTCAGCAAATGGGTAACGGCATTCAATCTGTCCATCCTGACTCCCCACTTGCGCATGCATCCTCCCACGCTGCTGAGCATGCCCAGACAGAAGACAGCGTCTCCTGTCCCCGCTGTAAACATAGTTCATGTGTCATTTCCCTCCCAATTTACTATGAAAATTGAATGGAGACAAACGGACACAGGAAAGGAAGCTTCCTGGCTGTCTGTGATCTGAGCTTACAGGCATTGGACGGTTTAAAAAGGGTTAAGCAAAGGGTTCCTATCAAACAGATGGGGCGGCAAACAAGCGACAGCAGCTTGATGGCCCAGAAAACGACCTTGCTGCCTCCGGGGCGCCGCGCGGTGCAGGCACGGGCACGTCCCCGTGCTCCGTCGCAGCGCGTGCGTTCAGGCGCTGCGGGCATCCCAGGCCCACGAGCCAAAGCCCACCCCGCCTCATTCCCAGGTACCAAGGGAACGCAAAACACAGGAGGAAAGTGGTCATCGACGCAACGGGGTCCTAAGGAAGGCCCCCCCCAACCCACCACCCCGGGAGAATAAAATTTTTTCTGAAGAAATACAGATTTTTGAGTCTCACTACAATTACTTAAAAAGTAAAAGCAAGAAATTCTAATAGTTGCAATATGTTGGTCATTTCTTACAAGCCAGGAACTCTGCTGGGAGCTTTAAATGCATATCCTATTTAATCCCAATCACCACACTGCCATTTTGCAGAGGCTCAGAGAGGATATGCCTGATTTTACCACTCCTCACATGGAAGAGCCGGACACAAACCTTAGTCTTATTCCAAAGTCATGCTCTTTGCCTCCCAAAGAAAGAGAATTCTTCTGTCACCCACCTGGAAAGGAACAAAAACAACCCACAGGGAGAGCAGTAAAACCGGAGAAGACGAGTCGATGAGGGGATGGATTATGATTGATTATGAGGAGATTCGATTACGCTGAACAGTCAGATAATATGTAAACCATAGCATGACTAGTTACCCTATGAAATATTCACCTTTTTTCCTGCATAAAATTTTTTGGTGAATTTGAAAAAGGCCCCAGTGAAAGAAATGGGTCTCCTGGCAGAGGAGAAGAAGGGGTCCAGTGCTGGCTTTATCAACAAGTGGCCTGAGAACTTGGGCAGAGTGAGGAGTGAGGTAAAGGAATGAAAACTCACTGAGTGACTGGTACTTGGGGAACTGTCAGGCTGAGCTGTCCAAGGGGCCTGATTCTCCTTCTAGCTGAAATTTCTCTTCTTTTTGTCTTCTCCTTTCTTGCTCCCAGGAAGGGATCTCTCCTCTCATTTCTCTGGTGATGGAAGATCCTGGATGGACAGGAATCCTCACGTCAGCCTGCCTGGAAATGCCAACCTGTCTCTAAGCCTTTAATGTGATCTGCAACAGAGTAGCTGGGCCTAGGAACTGAAGTACACCGTCTAGGGGCAAGGTATGTGTGGGTATGACTATGTGTATGTGTGTACATGGAGAGTGGGAAATTGCATGTGTGACTGCATATGGTTATGTTTGAGCGTGTGTGTTAGAATGTGAGTATAAGAGTGTATAAGTGTGTAAGAATGTGTATGAGGTGACTATGTATTTATTGTGTGTGTGTGTGTGTGTGTGTGAGATATCTCATCAGTAGAGAATGGGAAGCTCTTGGCTTTGGGTGAGGTTGGTGTTAGAGGGATCTTATGGGGTATGCATTTGGTCCATTAAACTGCTGCTTATAGCTAACTGATTGTGACAAAGATTCTCTTTGACCAAACTCTAGCCAGGCTCCTCTTAGCCCTCTTCTCCAGTAGCCCTCAACCCTGGCCTATAAGACTTGAACAAACACTGATAAAGTTTCTAACAGCTCAAGGCCACATCCCTAGGATGACCCTAGCCCTGTTAAAGTGCCTGCCTGAGAAAAATCAAAGTTGCCAGAAGAATTTTCAGTTTGTTCCAGCTAACACCTGAAGATAGGGCCCCTGTTTCCCAGTCTTTGTGGGAGGGTAAGCCTAACTTCAAAGGGTTCCAGTTAGCAAGCCCAGATGGGTCTCATATGGACCAACCCTCCCCTTTCTGCTTTTTGTAATTGTTCACTTCTCTGACTCTGTGCCCCTGCTTACCTCCCTCCCTGTTCCCTCATTCTCCCCTTAAAATGCCCAGACACCTCTGTACAAATCAAAGTTGAGTTCAGTTCACACTGGAGTCTTTTCTCTATTGCAGTAGCATATTGCTGATTAAAATCCGTCCTCACCCGTCTATCTAGTGTCAGCCTTGTGTATCTCTGACCTAGAAAGAGCTGGGGCAGTCCCTGGGCAATGAGCTAACCCTTCAGCAGGTGCGGTTAATCTGAAGGATAAAAGAAGGAGCACATCACTAGGGATACATGTTCCCCTGCCTAAACTGGCACATCTCTGGTATATATAAAACAAATCTCACCATTTTTATCATGAACCTGACTCTATAAGCTGTGTGGAGGGCAGAAAGAAGGACTTTATGCACTTTTAATCAAACACACTGTTGCATTTAATGCCCTTTCCCATTCTTCATTGCTAGACCTGCATACGCAAGCATGTAAACATTCACGCCAAAAGCTAATTGTGATATTACGATATTTATGCATTGGTTTTTGTCCATGATTCCTGGCTGATACTACTCTCTGATCTTCTCCTGCCCTTCTTTCACCTGCTTCTTTTTCTCCCCAAGGCAGGAAATTCTGACCTACCATAGCTGATTGTAGGTCATAAGACGCCCCCCCCATTTGTGAAGGCGTCCTGCCCCATACCCAGGAAGAAGGTATATTGCACAAAGAGGCCAAGAAAATCCTGAACAAACAGGCCTTGCTTGGTTTCCCCACCCAGGGTGTTAGTGCTTGAGCATACTCTTTTGTCCAATCACATTTCTTTTTTTTTTTTTTTTTCCTTTTTGTCTTTTTCCGTGTCCGGCAACGGATCGCAACCCTC